AGAGAGAGAGAGAGAGAGAGAGAGAGAGAGAGAGAGAGAGAGAGAGAAACACACACAGAGAGAGAAACACAGAGAGAGAGAAACACACAGAGAGAGACAGAGACAGAGAGAACCTGAAACTACAGGTCAGGGTGGTAGTAATTCTGAGAGTGTTTTTTTTCAAGTTGAGAATATTTGTGTAGATTTACTGATGGAGCATTTCAAATCTCTCATGTTGCTATTTTAAATGTTTTAATGTTTGTAATGCTTCAGATTTCATATCTTTTTAATGCTCCATTGGTACTGCAGTCACCCACTACAGATTGGTGCATATACTCATAAAAACCACTAGGTGGCAGCAGAGGAAATGATACATGAAAGCTGCAGTCTTCCTAGATGCTGAGATTAAAGATTGATTCATCATTCTTGGAGTTTAGAACAACCAAATAAGTTCCACCAAAAACGATGCAGTTCACCTATCTTCAACCACCATGTGCTATTCCGTCCAGAACAATGCAGTTTGCCTGTCTAGAACTACCGTGCGCTCTTCTGTCCAGAAGTCACATTTGTGGACTTGTTTGTTACCTTCCAGCTCATACAACCAGTTGTAAATCTGTCTGTTCCCCAAGACTGTAACTCTGCTCTTTCTTGATCGCATACTAATTTTTGGTATGCTGCATGTTGAACCTAAAATTGTGTCTATATATTTGGGGGGTTTTTTGAGCTAGAAAATATATTTATACTCTGCATTCAGAAAGCCTATTAATTAGCTATGTGATATCAAAATGTAAAGGTTTGTTTGTGCTTGCCTTTTAGTACAAACTAGATGAAAGAGAACAGCAAACCCATACTGGTGTTTCTTTTTTGTTTCTTTTTTTTTAATTATTTTTTTATTTGTGTGTGTGTGTGTGTGTGTGTGTGTACCCACATGCACACGTGCGCGTGTGCACACATACACACACACACACACGCAAGTGCCAGAGGAGAGCAAAAGGAAGTGATCTAGATCTCATAGGACTGGAGTTACATGTGGTTATAAACTACCAGGTGTGGGTGCTGGCAACAGAATGCAGATCCTCTGGAAAGGCAGCTAGTGCTATTAAACGCTGAGCCCCCACACTGCTGTTTCTAATTGCAGTCATTAATTTAAATTTTTAAACAAAAACACAGCTGGAAATGAGTACAGAATTAAGGAGAATGACGAAGTGTAGGTAAGGTCTGTGCAATTCAGCTTTTGTCAGAATCAGCCAGAGCTAAGCTTTGGGTTTATTTTTCTCCTAGGAAGGAGGTGAGCTGAATCCTGGTGGCATAGTGGAGCTGTCACAAGAGAAGTCAGCAAGTCTATCTCTGCCAAGCCACAGAATCTGATGTGCCAGCCAAAAGAACTTGGCAGCAAAATATAAGGTAGGTGTTAACACATATAATTGTTTTTAATTATATGTTTTATAATTACATAAATCCATTTAGCATAAAGGAGAGGAAGGTCATGTTCATAATGAAAAAAATTTACCTAGCTAGCTGCAGAACAAAAGAATACATGAAAAGAGGGGGGAGGGTATCAATTTATTTTACTTGAAATAGATGATACACAATACAATAAAATCCCAAGTATATATGCTATTTTTCGTGCATTCATATAGATGCTAGGAATTCTTTGAAACCATGTAAATCAGGATTTCTCCATCTCCTGTACCAAAAAGCCATTAGCACAATTAACTGACTCAGAAGGTAAGCTTTCTATGTCTGAGAAAATCTGTGTCTGAGTTTGATGAGGAGAGGGCTTTAGAAGCTGGCAGAGGCTGTTTCCAATTAAGTCCTAAGCAACTATTAATCTTCCTGGTGATGTAACACTATAACTTCATACATTCTTTGATTGTGCTGTTAATTGAAAATCTTATTGAAGAGTCTCTTTTGTGGTGAAGGTCCTGAAAACTAATAAACCAATTCTGAGTTTGGTGAAGATGATTCATTTACTAGTAAGTCCCAGCACAAAGGAAATTATAAAACTCTTGGATCAGTAGAGACAGAGAATCTCAAGCTTCATGGGAATTTTGAGAATGAAATGGATGAGATATTCCTTATTTACTCTTTCCTATTGGAGGGAGCTGAGTGGCCTTCCACAATGTACATCTACTTTAGCTACTTTTTCAAAATTGCTTCTGTAACATTGTATCAGCCCCGAGTACACTGTTGACTGATAAGGTAGAGCTAGCTTCCCCAGGCCACCTGAAAGAAGTCACTCTTAATGTTATTTCAAAAGCAGATTGCCAGTTGATGTTTTTTAGAGAAAGATAAGGATACAACTCAGTGAAGAGGCAACATAGGTCTACTATCATTCCAGAAAACCTGTATATCAGTGGTTCCCAATCTGTGTCACAACCCCATAAGAGCTGAATGAAACCTTCACAGGGATCACCTAAGACCACTGAAAAACACAGATATTTACATTATGGTTTATAGCAAAATTACAGTTATGAAGTTGCAACACAAATAATTTTACTGGTTGGGGAGTCATCACGACATGAGGAACTGTATTAAAGGGTGCCAGTGTTAGGAAGGTTGAGAGCCACAGCTCTCTACACATTGATTAACCTACACAACAGTGAATGTAAACATCTTATCAGATCAGGAAAGGACTTCAGTAGTTCACTTGGTTCAGTTTCTTGGCTTCCACAAGATAAGGTATCATTATTTCTACTTTATAAATCAACAAGTTAAGCCCCATAGAGATGGTCTGACTTCCATAAGGTTATCGTTGGTTGACAGTGAGTTCAGGCCAATCTTCTGGCCACGCAAAGTGTCACACTAAGCAATGTACTATCAGGGAACCTCCTGAAAGGATTTTGTTTTCTCAAAAATTCCTTCTTACTTGTCTCTGTCAAGACAAAGCACCCAGAATTTGACACAAAACAGAACCTTCCATAATTGTATACAAATGCATTAATAAGAAATTGGTGGCATTTTAGATAATCCAGTTAGTTGATCTTGAAAGTCAAGGTGCCCATCAGCAGTTAGTTCTCAGGGAATCAAAAATTGTTTTGACTAAAGAAGTGAATAAACAAAAATCCTGAGGTCCCTCACTGGGCCCATGAGCCAGGTGCTTAAGTGAACATCACAGAAATCAGGTTTGAAGCACATCTAATCAAGACATATTTTATAATGTTTATCTTGCCCCGGTTCTATTTATTTATTTTTAAAATTATGTATGTGTATGTATCTCTGTGGGGTTTTGGTCCTGTGAGACAGGTACCTATGGAGGTCAGAGGTGTTAGATACTCCGGATCTGGAATGTCAGGTAGCATGGACCACCTGACATGGGTATCAGCAGAGCAGTATTGGCTCTTACTCCATGAACCATATTTCCAGCACCCCTTCCCCTCACTGCACCTGCTGCTTTGAGTTCAAGAAACAACTAGAAATCGTACAGCTTCATTCCTTAGGTCCTTAAAGAGGTTTGGGGGCATAAAAGAACAATTTGACCAGGAAAAGTTACAATTGGAACCTCTGTTGTGGAGCACAGAGGAGAAGCTTTAGAATAACGTTTATAAGAAGTTGTCATAAAGACACCCCTACTGTGATGCTGAGAATAACCTAATACTGATGATAATGTGATGATCCACCATCATCCCTGAGCGCAGGACATTACTCAAAATCTTCCTCACTGTTACCACTTCAGAAAGACCATTCCATTCTACCTTCCTCTCTAGTAAGCCGCATACACAGAGAAAAGGTAATAAAACCATATCATTTAAATGAAGACAAGGAGAAAACCAAAAATTAGACGGAAGAATGATAGGAGATGGAATTTGGAGAGGATAGAGGAAAGTGATGCTATCTCGTGGTCACTTTATGAAAAGCATAGTGGTAAATGATTCCTGCCATCACATTTAATCTCAATAGCTCTCTGAGGGAGCTATTATGAGCATAGGACAAAATAGCACTCCAAATTATTGATACTTGCACAGGTACTGAGCAATGCAGCTAAATTCCAATTGATTTAAAACTCCATGCCCGTTTAAAATGGACCATCATGACACAACAGTCATCGTGAACATGTGATGGAACTGCATAAAGATGGGGAGGTTCTCAATCTATATATTGATTTTGGAAATAGGATTTTGGATGGACTTCTGTCCTTAAGTATCAGAGAGAAAGAAAAGAAAGAGATAGTACTGAAACTCTTGCATCAGAAAAAAAAAAAAATCAGGCACCATGAACTTTGAAAGGTGCAGCTCTCAAGGTTTCATTTCAATACCTTCTTGTCTGTCTTCCTCATTTTCCTCAACCACCCTGTCTCCAAGGAAGCTATAGGGACCCTGTGAGGTGTCACCCACACATAGAAGATTGGGTACAGAGATTTCTCTCCAGTCTTGACATGAAGGGATGCGAATATGTTTGATGTCTTCACTCCCAGGAATGAAGCCAAACACTCTCTTGATTCGATGTCTGATGAGAAGTCGGGAATGCTCCTCGGCAGCTTGCTCGAAGAGCGCCCTCTCGTTGTAGAGGTGGTTGGCCCAGTAGTGATGCTGCAGAGAGGTGAGGGGAGAGCAACATCTTGCCAGACATTTGGAGACCAGGAGAGCAATGGTTGCCAAAACGACCAGAATCCAGCCCAGCATCTACGAATAATCAGCAAGAAATTAGTGGGTGCAAGCATTGATGCAGCAAATTCAAAAAACAACTGTGATAAGAGGGAGCCCAACAGACCTCAGAACTAAGATGTGGGTAAAATCTTTGCTTCCCGTTTTTAATATATAGTATACGATGATGATCATTTGGTATGGAAATATCTGTGACAGAAGGCCAGGTTAAGCCATTTCAGCACAGCCTTTGTATTACAAAAGAATTTGACCTGTTAATGTGGAATGGATTCTAAGTACCATCCTTGAAGTGATAGACGCTATAAACCACCAATTAACCTCATATAAAACGTTTAAACCTTGTCCTTTGCTTATAACTCAATCTTACTTCTTGATCATTAGGTATGGTCCCGTGAGTTTGTTGGGGGCTTAATTAATATTTGATAATAATAGTGGTGAAGATGACGCCATGATGGACACTAATGGCAGCCTCCCAAGGTCTTCTTCAGTGACCTGCTGCCAAGTATTCACAGACACGTCTTCCTGCATCTCTCTTTCCTCTTATCTCTTGTAGCCGAAGGAGTCAGTAAGCAACTATAAGCTATACCTAGTTCCTTACCGTTTTCTTTTTTAGATAAACTAGGTTTATTTGTGACTACTTGGCTCCTGTATTTTAAACACTGGATATTTTTGTCATAGACTCTTTTGTTCTCCTCTGTTTCATTCTTTTAAAAGTATTTAACAACTGGTGAATGTGGAAGGCAAGGCTTAAATGAGGAAGAATGCTAACAGTGCACAGTCACAGGTGGGCAGTGCAGATGTCCTCTGCCTCTGGCTTTTCTCCTACAAGCCTTCACAAGCTCCTCTTCCTGAGCTGGTTTTGTGATTAGTCAATATAAACAAACAGACAACAAAATGACCACCCCCCCAAAATTGTGACAAATATATCCTAATGGAAATTTTCTGACTTTTCTTCGATTGGGTATTAATGCAGCATTTCAAGATTCTGTGTCTTGATTTTGTTTTTTCTAAATGATCAATATCTAAATAACTGAAAGATGAGAGGTCAAAATCCACGGAAGCCTTTGCAATCAGTGCTTTAAGGTTTAGTGCTTTGAAAATATGTTTTAATTCATTCCTTGGAGAAAGTCGTGTGTTTTTCTTGCCAAAATATAAAACTGCACTCCTAGAATTTAACCTCAAAGTGTTGCAGGCTCATGACCTCTTCCTGTACCATCTCTCTGACACTAATTCGTCCATGTACATTACATCTAGAACCACCACTGAAGATTTTAAAAACAAAATTGAGCTTCCTGTAATTCCAGAAAAAAGATTTTTAGTATAAAAGAATACAAATGTGGAAACATGCAGAAAAAAGAGACTTAATGATACAGCACTGTTCTGATAATATGTGTAATATTACTAAAATTCATTATTTTTAACAGAAAATAGGTACAGTCATGAGCTCTTTAAATGTTTTAGTTCATTTTCTCATCTACAATCATTTAAGTGACAGATTCTGTTATGATCTTTCTTTCACAACTAGGAATGGGAAGCATGGAGAAGTAGAACTAAGAACAACAACAAAATCAACAACAACCAAACTAGTTGGTTACTAAGGTAAGGTAACAGGAGTGAACCAGGTCTACTAATCCCCAGCATCCTATCTATGTGTACGCAGCTGTTCAGTAGAATACATTTTGATACATGGGATCTAACATGTCCTCCGAGTTCAGGTAACGAGAGATAGTAGACCTGCAGTATGTTCAGTGTCTTCATAGAGTCTGGAACAAGTGTAGAATAGTAGGACAATGGGTCATGAACTTACTTGTGACTGGTATCTGTGTAGAAGAGCCACTTCGTCTCTTACTGGAATCACATCAGAGGGAGCGGACGTGTAGCATGGAAATCCAGCTAGCATCTCTTCCCGTTTGCTAGGAGTGACATTAGCAAACATTGGGTACTGGTCCACAGAGGCAAACTCACTTGCCGCACATTCGTAGTAGGTACCTGTCAGCAGCGTCACTGTCAGCCACGTCAGTGGAGCGACCAGAGCCCTGCCAGTGATGTTGAAGAACATGAGGCAGGCCAGCCTCCTCTCCAGAGGGCTGCTTCTCCGGTATGGAGGGGTACAGCTGCAGCAGCAGTACTCGCTGACAACTGACCACATTTGGCCTCGTAGAGCATAGCCAGCAATCAGAAGGATCAAGGCAGGAACCACAAGAAAAGCTGAACCATAATAAAAATTTTTTCCGACTTGACATGGACAACTGAACGTGTAAGAGGAGAACAGTTGCTGCCCACAAACGGTCAAAATCGCTATCAAAGAATTGATGCACGGTTCACTTCGGAGCAGAGAAGATGAAATACAATTGAGATCTGGGCCCATCGTGGAAGCTCTGACACAGCCAGCTGGTAGCCCTTTCTGATGGCTAAACTCTACCAGCTGTGACCATTTTATAGGATAGCACTGGTTTAACTGGTTGTGTCAAGTAACCCGACATCCTTGTATGTTTAAAGGATTCTCTTATATACATTGTGAATCCTGAGCTAATAAATTTATACTACTTCGTAGCTGGAGAAAGGGAAGGGATCTCAGTTTTCTTTGAAAAAAGAACTTCTCAGGGTCTCATCAGGGATGACCACAGCACACTTGCCAGGAAGATTCCCTCCATTTTTCAGTGCACCACTTTGTACCACAGAAAATGCTAAGCATCAGACAACACAGCCTAGGAAGCAAAACAGAGACACTCATATCTCAGTGACAAACAGATTCTCCAGACAAAGCATTACAAAACACAGGAAAATGTAAAGCATCAAATATTAGAGGAATCCAAAACTTCTAGGAGGTCCCAAAAAGGTTTTTTTTTAAACAAAACAAAGCAAAAACAAAACAAAAAAAACAGGAAGCCAGGAACAAGGGAACTACCTCAGAGATATCTGTCAGTGGAGTGCTGCTATATGTTGTTATGAAAGTTAAATTGAAATTTGTTTTTATGATATTCTTTTGTTACATGAAATGTGACTTTTCAAATAGTTTTATAGCTTTAAATAAATGAAATGAGCAAACATGGAAGTCAGTTTTGCTGCTTAACTAGTAATTCTTTACCATACAATTTCTATGTAAATGGGAGTTGACTAGATTTACAAATCTTCATTCTCAAACCTGGGTGTGCTGAAACACGTCATTAGTGAACTGAGAGAGCATACTGAGAAAGCACAACCCAGACAGACAGACAATATAGTTCAAAAAGCAACTGAGGACACAGAAGACAGACGAAGCCTGAAAGGAAAGAAAAAAAGCTAGGCAGAGAAGTAATATTTCTCACACACTGATGACAGGAACATCACGTCCATTTGGAAAATTGTGGTTTTCTTAAAAGATTATCTATCCACACTGTATAATGTTCATATCTCCCAGTTATTTGTTAATAGATAAAGGAAAACATATATTTATGTAAATACTTATACCTGAATAGCCATAGAAACTTCCTTCATAAAAGCTGTAAACTAAAAACAGCCCAAATGTCCATCACCATATGACTGAATTAACAAGCTGGTATATATCCAATATTACTGCTTCCAAAAATTATGTGTGTGTGTGTGTGTGTGTGTAAAAAATAAATTTGTAAATTAAAAACTGAAAAAAAATAACTATGTATGATATTCTTTATACAAAACTCTAGAAAATATAGCCAGGTATGGGGCACAAGCCTGTAATCCCAGTGCTTAAAAGGCAGATACAGAGGCAGGTGGATATCTGTGAATTCAAAGCCAGCCTGGTTTACATAGTGAGTTTTAGGGCAGCAAGGACTACATAGACAGACCCTGTCTCAAAACAACAAACTCTAGAAAATATAAATAGATTGGTGCTTTTTGAGAAAAACAGGGAAAGGGGATAAGAAGAGAGGAGTTGTAAAGAAACTAGAAAACTTTTGAGAGTCATACTTTTCAGCCCACAGTGTTTGGAGTTGTGGAAGAGATGCCAGTGCTATAGAAAGATTTATTCTTTTTCTTTCCCCAGGACACCAGGTCAGGGAATGCCAAACAAGGTCACACCAGGAAGCTTCACACTGGGTCAGAAGGTGGGAGAAGGAAGAGAAAGCCTAGACCAGAACCTCTACTGGGGTATCTGTGGGAAAGATAAAGCAGCTCAGGGGAACACTGAAGCTTGACTTTTAAATAAATCTAGTGGGCTTTGAGGCATAGAGATTATCCCTATACACCCGCAACCTGGGAATGCTTGATTTAGGGCAGAAAAATATTAACTCAGTATGTGAGCATTAGATAAGGTTATGGCTCTGGCACTTGACCTCTGGCGCATAGGGGAAATACTAATAGCCTATTACGTGGCCCCCTAATTAATGGATACCAGATAGATAAACATAGAACAGGGAGATAACAGTGTTAATTACATTGATTTAAAAAACTTGATCTAAATACTTATCAAACTGTGTATCAAATATGTCTCAATAACCATAAACATTGTAAGTATTATCACTAAGACTAGATATCCCATGTATAGATCATTTAAAACACAAAGGGAATGAAAAGAGAATCTTTATAGGGAAGGAGAAAGTAAATAAAGACAAAAGGATAATAAGGAGAAAAGACAAATCTACAATATAAATGAGATCAATAAAAATGATAAAAAATACCTAAACTAACAGTGACTGAATGTTTACTGTCTGCTAGGCAGTATTAAGAACACTGAATTTCCTAAGTAATCCAATCTTCAGGTATGGTGAGTTTAGGGAGCTTGCCTAGCACCCCACACAGATGAATGGAGGAGTTAAAATTAGGATCCAGGTAGCCTGACATGCATCTTTAACCATCATACCAGAGCTAGTTTAAACCTGCCCATGTAGTGTTTTAAAAACAGCTGTGCTGCTTACACATGACCTTCCCCAAACTGTACTACACACAAAGCTTGAAAACAAAGATATGGAAGCATGGACCACTGTGAAGAATAATATTAGAAGGAGAGACTGACTATAGGTCATTTAAAGGACTACCTACACATTCTAAGTACAAACACTGCATTGTGAATATAGAGGAGTGTCAGTTTGTATGTCCGTGACTAACAAGTGGCCAAATAAGCGATAGTGGATAAAAGATAAAAAGAATA